AGGTCGTCCCAATTAGAAACGCCCAACTAAATCCTACAAGCCCCTATAAACCCTAAACCCAGAATCCTAAACTCTTCATGGGTTTAGGGTTCAGGGTTCAGGGTTTTGGGGTTTTGGGGTTTAGTGGTTTGAGGGTGTTGGGGTTTTAGGTTTGAGGGTTTAGGGGTTTGAGGGCTTTGAGGTTTTAGGTTTTAGGGTTTAGTGGTTTGAGGGTTTTGGGGTTTAGACTTCAGGGTTTAGGGTTTAGGGCGATTGCATCCTTGCCTGGATAGTTGACCTGTGGGGCCATTTGGGCTGAGTGTCACAACATTGGGGGCATTTCAGGGAGTACTACTGTTGATGATCTAAATTCTGAATTACCTTAAGGACCCTAAACTATGGGAATTATGGCATACTCCTGATTACGGGAAATGCAGGATTTGTATCATCAGCGGTACTACGAACCATGTGGGTTCCTATATTGGAACACCAGTTTGGTCCTTTGAGGAGTTGAGGGCTCCGGGATGGAGGTCTTTGGTTCTGGTTTATGCTTCTGGGGTTTAGGGTTTAGGCTTTAGGATTTAGGGTTTAGGGTTTAGGGGTTCAGCTTGAGAGTTCGGGGTGTAGAGCTTTGAGCTCAGCTTCAGGTTCAGCGTTGAAGGGACGCTGTTGCGGCGTGCGGTGTTCAGACAGCTTGGGATGTAGGCCGGTGTTCAGCGGTTTTCTGGGGAAGGACATGAGTTGGATGTGTGCTCTGGCTGGGAACCTAGCGGTTCGAGTTTGGGAGCAAGGAATTTAGGGCATGAGATGAGCGGGAAGGTTCTGTTTGAAGAGGGGGGTTTGGGGAAAGAGGCAACCAGGTCTAGGTTGTTTGGAAACCTGGGACATTGCAGATTTCGGGATGTTCGGTGCAGTTCGCGTAGTTCGGAAGTTCAAGTTCGCGGTTCAAGCTTTCGGATATTCAAGGGCTTACGGTAGACGTGGGTGTTCGTGGCTTAGGGGTATCGTAGTGGCAGCACTAGGATCCGCAATTTGTAGAAACGCGTACAGCGAGACATCAGAGCAGACTTGTTGGTTCCTGTGGTGAGGCTGGATGCTCTGCATCCGTATCCCTGTACCCAGAGCCATCCTAAGCCCGAGATGGCTGTGCAGGAGGCGCACACTGAGGCACACCATGCCAACGTGGGAGAGCGGCTCGCTTTCTTGGAGAAGGCGATTGGTGACTCAGCCGAGAAGCACGCGCAGGACGAGCTCCATTTGTGAGCAACCGTACTCATCGAGGTACTGTAGAGTAGTGATGATGATGAGTAGCACCAAGAACAAGGACGAACGCATAGCCTACTCGATGTATAACAGCAGTAGCATTGACTTTCTGTTGAGCATGGTGCAAGCAAGAGTGGTTACGTGCCGCTGCGAGCATTTGTGCAGGAGCTTGCGGAAGCTCACTCCAAGATCGCCAGCATGCACTCGCGCCTTTCCGCCTGTGAAGCTACAGGCGCTGCAGAAGTCGAAAGTTCTAGCTCGGGTACATGCATCTAGTGGGGCAAGAGCGAAAACACTCATGGGTCTTCGATTTAGGTTGTTTTATGCTGTAGTAATGGGGATGAAGAGCAGTAGTCATGGTGCTGATTCCGTAGATGAGTTATACCGAAAGCAGTGCAGGATCAGCAGTGGACGGTTTGAAGAAGGCACATGCCAACCATTTGTCTGATCAAACAGCACGAGATGCGCATCATGCGACACTTGCGGAGCGGTTGGACTATTTGGAGAGGACCTGCTTAGCTTCTGGCTGGAGGGTGCCCTGTAGCCTCATGTTAATATAGGGGCAGGCCTTATAATTACCTATACTGTACTGTTTTGCGGGTTCCTGATTATAAATATAGTATAATGTACCCCAAGCCCTATTCTAATGTTTAAGGCCCCTACATTAGGCTCCTTGATCCTACACTTCCGCTGTACGCACCTTGCATCCGTTGGAGCCCTGACAGGATGTTTGGAGATTCCGCGGACATGCATGCCAAGCAGCTGAAGGCTGCCCAGGACAAGATCGAGAAGATCCATGCTCGCGTGGCAAGCTGTGAAGAGACGGGCTCCATGGTGGCAGACCTACACAAGTCGCATCAGCAAGTAAACCAAGAGCACCGAGACAAGATCTCCAGCCTGCACTCTTCCGTTAGCGAGCGGCTGAGCTACCTGGAGGGCTTGATGGGTGAGTCTGCTGAGCTCCACGCAAGGGAGCTAGAATCCCTGAAGACATCGCACTCGCGGATGGCCTCCGAAGTGAAAGCCCGAGATGCCCATCATGCGACCGTCTCGCAGCGCCTGGACTACATCGAGAAGCTCCTGGGCGACTCAGCTGACAAGCACGCCCAGGAACTCAGGGCGGCCCATAGCAAGATTGATCAAGTGCATCAAAGAGTCACTGGCTCGCAGCAGGAGGACCCTTGGCAAGTTACATACCGGCTTCGAGAACATAGCGGCTACAGTCGGTCATGCGGTTGCTCTCACCGGTTGTTATGATTTCCCATGTGCTCTACTGTTCTTGCTCTCATGTCAGCGCACTCATCCTCCGAACATTTTATCAGGGAGGGTTTCACACTGTGTTCATTAAAGCAACCCGAAAAAGCACCTTTTCACCTTCGAAGTATCCAACCCCTCAGAGTTACATCCCAAGCTTTCGTTGCGGTGCTTCGTAATTTGGGGTTTTTGCAGAGCTACAGTCTCCCTGTAATTAGCAAGTTCATAACACACGTCACAATCGACAATCTATATGTCCTTGATACATAAAGCTCTGTACTTGTATGTCAATTGAATATACATACACTGGTTTTTGTAGCATGATATCTGTGCATAAATGCATCTGCATACGTATCTGCACGAGGGCACATCTCCCTCGCAATCGACATCGGCATCCTCGTCTGTTCCTGTACTGTACCGCTGCCTGACTACCTCTGAAGCTATCAATGCACTCGCCACTATCCGTCGCTATCCACACATGCCTTCATCAGCCGTGCTCCATCCAGCATCTCTATTCCGGGCTGTATAGACCAACAAACAGGGAAGATCATGCAATGGGTGCATGTACACCGACACTCCCGATTCCACTTTCACTTTCGAGCACCTTCCCGCACCCCAAAGCCCCAAGCACACCAAATTGACACTCTCGGCAGTTACAAAAGTCGTTTTAATTTAAAGCTTCTGACCTCCAAGCCCAACTTCGGAATCGAGATGTGGCAGTGTCTTGGCAGGAAAGCTTGCGATCTCTTCTGCATTCTGAGAAGGAGGCTCGGCAAAAGCATGTGGCCACCGTGGAAGAACGGCTGGAACGCCTGGAAACGTCTCTGGGTGAGACCCACAGCAAGCATGCTTTGGAGATCGAGTCGACCAAAGCTGCACACCAGAGACTGAGCAAAGAGCAGAAGCTGCGTGATAAAAAGCACGCTTCCGTGCAGGAGAGGCTAGAATATCTGGAAACGAAGATCGGGGATCCCTTTGACCAACATGAGCGCGAGCTGAAAGCTGCTCATGCAAAGTTGGAGCAGGCTCAGAACCGAATTCTCCAGTGCGAGAAGCAGGGTGCAACAATCTCCGAACTCCACCGATCACACAGCACGACCTCGCAAGAGCACAAAGCGGCTCTTGCGGCCCACACGGCTTCTTTGGGCGAGCGCCTGGAATTCCTCGAGAAGAGCCTCGGCCAGTCTGTTGAAAAGCATGCCAAGGAGGTGGAGGCCCTGAAGGTGTCTCACTCGAAGTTTGCCACAGACACGAAGCTTCGAGATACCCACCATGCGACTGTATCGGAACGCCTCGACTATGTCGAAAAGATGGTCGGGGATTCGGCTGACAAGCACGCCAAAGAGTTAGCCGCTGCCCATGACAAGATCAAAGACATGCACAAGCGCGTGACGGACTGCGAGGCTGGCTCGTCTCGATCCACCCATAAATCTATACTTGCATGTACGTATAGAAATACGACTATATGTATCCACTGTGTACCCATACACATATGTGCATATTTATACCGTGTATATCTATATCTATCTATCTATATATATAATAGATTCTATATGCATATACATACGGGTGTATATATATATATATAGCTACCCCCCCCCCCCGACGTACCTACACTTTTTGGTCTTCTATAAGGCAGCTTCTTGCCCAATCCAAAGTGAAGTCCAACAACAAACAGACATTACTGTGAATATATATATACACACCTAAATATAC